TCGTCACCGTCCTGAATGAGGCCGATGAGTGTGGTGTCGTCTGCAAACTTCAGGAGCTTTACAGAGGGGTCTTTAGACGTGCAGTCGTTGGTGTACATTGGTAACTGTTACATGTCACTCCGGACTACATTGCCCATCATCCATTGCACTGATTGCACGCAGCTGTAACCAATCACACGCTCACCTGAAAGCTATTACACACATTATATAACACCCACTCAGATCCTGCTCAAGTCGCCGAGTATTGTTCTGCATTTTTCACTCTCTTAGTGTTAGCTGCTTTACCGAGCCATTCCGTGTTTCTGTTCAGTCTCTTGTATTGTATAGCGTTTATCACTCTCCTAGCGATAGTTACTCTACGGAGCCAGTTTCTAGTTTTTCATAGTTTAGTCATCGCCTTGCCTTGCCTGTTTTCCTGGTTCCTGATTCTTGCCACGTATCTTGGATTAACCCTTTGCTTGCTGTTTCGGACTGTGTTTGCTCCTCGCCTGGATTTATGCTCACGTTTACGGATTACCCCTCTTGTCAAGCCCTCTGGATTACGTTTGCTGTCGTCTGACTCAAGCCCGTTTAGGATTGCTCTTCTGTCTTGCCTGTGCCATATCTGTTTGCTGTTGTTCGACCCTGCCTGTGTTTTTGACTATGTCTATTAATAAAAGCTTGCACATGGATCTGCACGCCTCACGTCTCTGTTACCCCGTTACAGTTTTAGGGTTACTTGCATGTAATTATGCATAATTTATTGTTATTATAAAAGTAAGTACATGTAATGTGTGTAACAAGGATACCTTGAAATAAAGTGTTACCATATTTTCACAATTAGGACATGACACTGTAAATAAATTTACTTTATTTATTTATTGGCAACGGTTGTTTTTTGTTTTTTTGCAAAAATGTAACGTGTGTAAAATTGAAGTACAAGGAACAAGTAAAATAGTGTTACTGAGAGACAACATGTGATAGATAGATAGATAGATGATACAATCAATTTGCACGATGAACAGTGTGAAATTTAAGTGGTTATTAATTCTCAAATCAACTCATATAGAGCCTAAATCAAAGACGGCCTCATTGGTTCTTATGAGATAATGTCATTATGTTAGTCACATGACACACAAGAACCAGTCAGGTTTTGAAAATAAGATATTGTTAAACATGATGTGATCAAAAGGTCATGGTAAGATTCAACTCAATTTCCTAAAGTCTGTTTAATCTAATTTAAGTTGAAATTGCTTGTATATCCAGTTTGAGTATATTTAAAAATTTAAGGCAGCAAATGAACTGAAGTTTTTAAGTTGAAGCAGGTGGACATGAGTTTGAAAGTCATGCAGGTGAGTAGGCCTAAATGACAGCAGGATTTTCAGCTTGGTTGAACTATTCTTTTAAATGAGCATAATTAGCCCACAAGAGGGCAACATTGATGTGTTGCTAAATTTGAAGTCATGCCCTGATCATCATGCAAACACAGAGTTTAGAGAACATATGGCTAATATTAGGGACTGTGTCAGGGCCCTCTACAGCAGGCAGTACTAAAACTCTGCATGCATAAATTAATTCAAGCAATTCTAAGAGTGTTCTCATTCTGGTCTTAATTATGATGCTTTTAACTAAACTGAAACTGAAGGACTGAACATACTGAAGGGATTTTCTGTATTGGTTTTTCACAGGTGTTTTACCCATATTTTGAATTACGCATTGCATGGTGTAATGTTTTAGGAAAGAAAGAAAACGTCTGTAAACTTAATGCAAAAAGTAGTGGTAATTTATTGCCAGGACATTATCTTTTTTAGGTGGGATGATAAAAGAGCCTGCTAACTGAATATGTAGTTAACAAACACTACAACAAGTAACACTAAATTTTTTTAATTATAATAACAGCTGCCATAACTTAAAACATTACACACTGATTCGAAAAGATGCATTATGTACCTACATCATCTCATAATATTAACATCTTTATTAAATTTAAAGAGCTGGCACAGACATTTAAAGACCAAAAACCAATATTATCTAAAAACACAATAGAACAAGCAGCACAGCGATAAGATCAGTATATCAGTATATCAATCTGAGTAAAACTGACTGCTAAGCTTCCGTCTAAATACTGCAGCGTCATCCACTACCAGTAAAACAATGGGGAAAAGAGCTCACCATCACAGACAGAGGTTTCTAGAAAATAGTGTGCAAAAGCACTTTCGGTTTGAGTAAAATCAAAAACATATAACTAGTCCAGTATAAAATCATACACAGAACAAACAAATGCTTAGACTGGGACTTCAACACAACACATCGTCTTCTCCATGCACTTTGATCATATCCTTCTGCCACTTCTGATTCAGTGCTATCAGATACCTATAAATACAGCATTCCTTCCCTGCCATCATCATGCATCATATGCCCTATATTAAGCCCTCTCTGTGACATTATATTATAGCTTACCTCGTTTTTTTCTCTAACTATCCCCAGAACTCTTGATTAATTGGAAGAAATAAACACTTCTTTTAATGCACCTGTGGATGCAATTGTCTGGGTGTGATTTCAACTTCTTATATCACAGTTACACTTTTAGCATCAGAAGTTTTGTTAAAGGCAAAACAGCACATTCTGTTGTCACACACTCACCCTCATCTTTCTTCTGCGGAATCTTTCAGTCGATGCATTGATTGTCTTAGTAATATGGGATCTTGTTGGATGTGCCCAGTTGTTAACTGACCAATGGCAGCGGTGTGAACCAGCTGTAGTTGTGAAGTAAACCATCTCTGAAAAACATCTCTTTCTTGGAAAAACTTTTAGCCTGCATGAATCCCCCTGTGCTAATAAATACAATTCAATAACATCTCCGCAGTGTTTTTCTATGTCTCTTCATTTTCAAATTGTCTCTTCATCTCTACATTTCCAGCTAGTATTTAGTTCAACTAAACAAAAATGTCTTCAACTAAATTAGTCTAACAGGAAGGTCTGGAGGTAAAGATGGGAAACGAGAGGCAAATGCAGATCTGTTTCTGTGTTTATATCTATGTCAACAGCATGCACTTTAAGACACACACACAGAGAGAGAGAGAGACAGGATGTATGTGGTGACAGGGATGCTCTATCACAGGATACATCATCATTTTCCCACCTTGTTCACATACAATACTCTCAAACATAGAGGAAGCTTCAACATTCATCACAGAGCTGATGTGCTCCCCATGCATCTCATCTAGTCAAGTCAAGTCAAGTCACCGTTATTTATATAGTGCTTTTAACAATACAGATTGTGTCAAAGCAGCTTTACAGTATCAAATAGGAAAATAGTGTGTCAATGCAAAATGACAACAGACTAATATTAGCGTAGATGCCATTCTTCTAAAGATGTAGCAAGTACATCGGGTGTTATTGGAAGTGTTTTGGAAGTAGTTGACCTAATTAATGCAGCCTATCAATCCTTTAATGGATTTGAGTAATAGAAATGTGTTCGTGTGTTACGTGTAAGCCAGGTTAAAGAGATGGGTCTTTAATCTAGATTCAAACTGACAGATTCTGTCTGCCTCCCGAACAAATAGGTATATTGTTCCAGAGTTTGGGAGCTAAATAAGAAAAGGATCTGGCACCCGCAGTTGATTTTTATATTCTAGGTATAATCAAATGGCCAGAGTTTTGAGATCACAGCAGATTTGAAGGAGTATAATGCGATAAGAGCTCACTCAAGTACTGAGGAGCTAAACCATTCAGGGCTTCAGTAATTAGCAAGATTTTAAAATGTATACAATATTCAATAGGGAGCCAGCGCAGTGTTGACAGAACCGGGCTAATATGATCATACTTTCTGGTTCTAGCCACAGAGAGTCAGGACCTCGATTTAACGTCTCATCCGAAAGACGGTGCTTTTTGTCAGTATAGACGTCCCCGTCACTATACTGGGGCGTTAGGACCCACGCCGACCACAGGGTGAGCACCCCCTGCTGGCCTCACTAACACCTCTTCCAACAGCAACCTAGTTTTCCCAGGAGGTCTCCCATCCAGGTACTGACCAGGCTCAACCCTGCTTAGCTTCAGTGGGCAACCAGTCTTGGGCTGCAGGGTGATATGGCTGAGTT